GGGCAATGCTGGGGGAAACAGGGTGATTTGATATGCAAAAACTCAGCCATTCTCTTTAGATATATGGCAAATGGACAGAGATGAATAAAGACAATTTTAGGAAGACAAGAAAATAGAAAAGAAAAATGTTTTATTCCTTTTCCTTTGACACACACACACACTCATGCACGTATATATATAAAATGGGGAAAAAGGGTGAATCCAAATTTTAATTTCGTTTTTTTTAAAAGTATATTGAGAAAGAAAGGTTGTGCCACACACAAAATGGATTTAGGTCTGTGTTTTTATGAACACACCATTAAAGAGTAAATATATGACAGCACTAATGGGCTATTGGAGTTCCCATCGCACATGATGGATGGAATTAAAGTAATTGCCTCTGTGTGTTTAAATCAATTATAGAAAGCTGCTGCAGAGAGGCGTGACAAATTGCAAGAAGAGTCCTCACAATATTCCCTCCTGTCTTTATGTGTGTGTGATACACACCCCAATGACATTTTCCTTGAAATTATCTTTCCCATTCATTTCACTTCATTGCTCCCTTTGCACTAAACCCCATCCATATACTTCACCATGACTATGCATGTTGCATGTAGACATTTATAGTATATAGATATTTGTGTGGGCATGTGTGTCCATACCTGCCGGTGTGCACAATTTGTGTACCAGTGCACATGAGCAAATGGCATCAACTTCTTTCATCTAGTTCAGTGAGTTTCACTTCGGGAGTTATTGTGTCCTGAGGGTAGGACTCCTGCTGACATAATGATTTAAAGGTAACTCTCTATGGACCTAGACAATTTAGGTTGGAAATAATGCTCACTCCAAGTCTGGAGAGTTGCATTCCTTGCACTGTTTGTTTGCAGCAACAGCAAAGTGTATTGTTGACACATAAGAGTTCTATATATTCTTTCTAAAGGAAACTGTAAGAATGTATTATAAATACTGATTTCTAAACAATGAATAGCTAGAAAAACAGGGAAGTAAAGGAATACTCCAACACTAAGACTTGTTTGTGATGATTATCAATATTGCAGTCTTTATTGTTGGCACACCTTCATTTACTGGATATATGGAATTTGAAGTTAAGTTTAAGCAGTGGGAGTGTTGGCCTTAAACTAAAGAGGTCCTTAGGTTAGGTGCATTACATGGTGAGACCCCTAGCACTACACCTAGCATTCAAATATGGTAAACCTACTTTTGAAATTATTTTAATATATGATATATGAAAATGATAATTGCAGAGTATTTAAGTTGAACTACAGTTGGCAGATCTAAAGCTAAGCTAGCTACTAACCAACCATAGCTGTCTACAAATTATTAAATGAGTAGGTTAATCTGCAATTACAGTAAGTGCAATTTCTAAGTTATTTACTATTTTGCAAATGATCCTTTTTCTTCCTGCCCATAGATATCCATGCAGCTATGGCCCAGTTGATGCTAACTAATTCCATTCCTGTCTTTTTAGTGGTTTTAGCTAAGATATTGAAACCCCAAAACTTCTCCTGAGTTTTGAGCAGTTGCCAAGACTAGAAAAGAACTGCATAAAATTTCACATTGTCTTTACATTAATATTGCCAGTACAATATATTATTTTTATTTTTATTTTTTTGATAATGAAAGGTTTGCAGGGCATGAAGGTAAAGAATTTGCTTGTCATTGTACACAGCTGGATTGAATAGGCACTACAAAAGATACATATTTGTGAAACTAGGATTACCAAGCACGTGACAATGAAAAAAGCATCTTAGCTTCATATGGATAAGTGAGTATTGTTGTCTGTCACAGTAGTGATTAAGCATAATGGCATTGAAAGGTGACCCCCAGTAGTTTTACTTTTGGTAAAATGGTAACTGAAATTGCTCTGTAAGTTTAATATAAACTTAAGTCTTCAACTGTGAGACTTGCTGTAATACCAGCAAAAAACAACATGCCTGGAATGTTTGATTTCAAATTGCTATTTTATCTGTGAAGGACAATGTGCTTCAAAAATCATCATGATTGCCAAAATCTGTCATTTAAGTCGTTTCTTTATGGCTACGTTCACACTGCAGGGGAAAGTGCATCAAATCCGACTTTCATGACCCTATGCGACCCATATCCGATCATGGTATGACAGTGTGAACAGCACAAATCCGATATTTTCAAATCCGACCTGGGTCACTTTCGTATGTGGTACTGAATCTGATACATATCTGATGTTTTAGAAAGCGACTGCTGTTTGAATGGTCATCTTGCATTAAATCCGTCTTTTACATTACTGACACAAAACAGACACCAATTATTAGCGCCGAGAAGACATTGTGAACGCTTCCTGGCCATCCAGTGAAACTGTTGGGAAGACAACGTTGGAGGAACATGAACATTTTATTTGTACTGTATAATCTACAGATTCTGACAGAACACTGCAACTATCCTTTGAAGCACTGCTCCTCTCTCAAACAACAATAAGGATAATTATTAGGCCATATGTAAATAACTTTATAACTTAAAGCAAAATTGGGAAATGTAAAGTCCGAAACAGTCAAACAATACTGTTTGGTCTGAGTCTAAACAGAGCGCGTTTTCTGTCATGTTTTATTTGTAGTGTGAACAAGCAGACAAAAAAAAAGCAGATTTGTTCAAAAAAATCGCATTAAGACCTGCAGTGTGAATGTAGCCTATGTCTCAAAGTCCTTCTGCAAAGTTCAGTGCTTTTGATTATTGGCTGTCTTTTTTAGTTTGCTGTTTAACTAAATTGTGGTTGGAGTTTTGTCCTCTCACACACATCTCTTATTTGCTTATGTGAATGTGTGTCTCCATTTGTTTGACTTCTTTTACTCATCTGGAAGCAGCTTAGTCTTCTGAGCTCCGCTGGCTGCAATCCTAACCAAACCTAAGCTCTTGCTCTCTCTCAGTCTCTCCTCTCTCTAACCCCAAATCAAGACTGCCCCATGTTTCAATCTTTTCTCTCTATCCAGCTTTGTAACTCTGTCATTTCATTTTTCCTTCATTTCACTTTTCATTCAGCCCATTTTGAAAGTTACTTTCCCCCACCCGGTTTAGTTCTTTCTTCTCAGTTCTGAAACCTGTTTATATAAGGTTAATCTGCCTTTGACAAATGAATGCCCCTCTACTTCTTTCGAAGTCTTAGAGAAGCACAAAATATGTGGAAAGGATTTAAGGTAAGACCCAGGGCCACAGCTAGCTTTTTATATCTATACCCAATTTTTGAGCCCAGACTCACAGACAAACATACAGCAGTCCTGCGTTAACAAAACTCACTCAATGAATCAGGAAGAGTAGCACAGCAAAAAGAGAAACTTTTTTAAAAGTTTAACTGACATTAAACTACAGGAAGATGAATCTTGTTTACTGCATATTGCCATATTTCAGTTTATTAGTCTTTTCGTCTTCATATTTGACATACTACATTGCAAGATTACATTTTTATCCCACTAAACATTTCTTGCAGAAACTACCTCGGTGGTTTAAAAGAACTTCTTTTATGTCTTTTTTGGGGGGGAACAGTGGAAATAATGGTAATGACCAACAAAGTATATATTTATACTTTAGATTTTTTCAGACACACTAATACAACATAAGTAATTTACCACAATGCATAATCAGATGACAAACACTTTTTTGGACACTTAATGTCAGAATGGTATTTATAAAATATAGAAATATACATTTATTAAAAAAGCATATGTGTTTAATCTGTCATTTTAAGAGACATCTAGGGGACATAGCACATGTAAAATCCCAATTATAATATAATTATGTACCCTATTGAATTTACATTTTGGTTGCAAATCTAAATGTACCCACATACTGATCATTTAACCTTCATAGTAAAGAAATCATTCCTGGACTGTCTGACATCGATAGCCACTAACGGGTCCAAATGCTGCTTCAGGTCCCAAAGTCAAACGAACGCTGCGGCATCATTGAGACTTAAAAACGCTCTAAATTCTTTCATCCTTTATAAAATGATCAGTGTAGCTGGTCTACCAGGTGTAACAATTAAGTTAAACATCCAGGCATCCATGAAAACAGAATTTATCAAATTTAACAGAGTTAGAAGTCAGCAGGGAGTTAGCTCGCTAGTTTCCACCTAAACATAATATACCATGTTCTGATAGACTTGTAGTCAAGACCACCTAATCTGAGACCAAGACAAGACCAAGTCGAGGCGAGACCAAGACCGAGACAAAAAAAGTCTTTAAACTGCAGCCAGGTGCTGTTTCGTTTACGGGTGTCAGGCATATTTATGTGTTTTTTCTTTCACACAGCCCTCCTCACCGCTGTCTACTGTCTCACTCACTTACTGAGAGGACACATGCATGCTCCATTCGACTGTCGCGTCTCTCACCCTCTCTGTTTTTCACATAATGATATTATCCTATATCCTTGAATGTGATTGGCCACAATATGGAGGGATTGGAACATAGCTGAGCCACCGTGTGAGAGCTGAGCAACGAAAGGAAATTAAGTGAGGGTAGAAATGACTGAAAGATTATTAGGCTCTGTTTTGAGTTTTGTTCAAAAAAGAATATAGGAAAAAAATAAATATCATATAGGAAAAAAATAAATATCACATATACAGGACACCTTTTTTTAATTAAGCAGCAAGGCAGAACAAAGTTGGGGCTGTATCAAGACACAGGGACTAAACCCCAATTCAACCAGACCCAGAACTGATCCGGAATTAAAACAGGACTACAACAGTTCAAAATCAGGACTACTTAGGACTTAACCAAAACAGAACCAGAATCAAAACTAGATGATAGTAGCACTAAAAATCACCATAGACCTGCACTACACTTATTTTTTAATTCTACCAAAGTCCACTATTTAGATTCAGAAAAGTTTATATAATTATTTAGCCTTGTTGTGCAAACAAGCCTGCATAATTTCATAAATATAGAATTTGAAAAGTAACAAATTGTATCTAAAAAGTTACACTAGGCACTAGATACATGTTCTGAACAACCATTTGACTAACATGTGTGTCTCACCTGCTCTTGTTCCATCTCTGTTCTGTCCTCATTCTCCTCTCTCCCTCCCTCTCTATTCCTCTCTCTCCCTCTTTGTGCTGACAATCAAGCCAAACACCAACATCATCAAATATACAGTTGAAACCAGATATTTATGTACTCTTCTGATAAAAACACAAACACTTTTTTAATTGTAACATCAAATCAGACTAAATGTTTACTTTTTTAGATTGATAAATATAAAAAATATATTTGTTAACTTTAGGAGTAGAGAGAGAAACTATCTGTATTTCTTAATTGCAAATGGCACTAAATTGTATTCAAATTTGAGCCACACTTACGGAGGTCGACAATTCTTTTCCTGGTGTTTTGGCTGATATCTCTTGATTTTCCCATGTCAAAGAAACAGGCTCCAGTGTTGCCAACTTAGCGACTTTGTCGCTATATTTAGCGAGTTTTCAGACCCCTTAGCGACTTTTTTTCTAGAAAAAGTCGCTAAAAAAGACGTGAAAGCGCGTATCGCTTTTACTCTCAACAAGCAGCGGGTGCTGTAACGCAGTCAGTTCTTCTTTTACTCTTATGCTGTTTTGTGGATCACAAGGTTTAAAACTACTTATAACACACACACACAAAGTAACTCCACCAGAGTGCCTATTTCGGGTCACTTTTGCCGGTCCAAGCCCGGGTAAAGGAGCAGGGTTGGAATTGTGACATTAAAAAAAACAATAATTGCTAAAATTAAATTTCGCCTGGTCCAGCCTCTGCTTGTGCTTCGCCTGGTCCAGCCTCTGCTTGTGCTTCGCCTGGTCCAGCCTCTGCTTCTGCTACGCCTGTCCAGCCTCTGCTTCTGCTACGACTTGTCCAGCATCTGCTTCTGCTTATGCTTCGCCTGGTCCAGCCTCTGCTTCTGCTTCGCCTGGTCCAGCCTCAGCATCAGCTCCTGCTTCGCCATCGTCAGGTCCTGCGTCGGCCTCTGTTCCTGCTTCGCCTCCGCCTGGTCCAGCTTCGGCCTCAGCTTCTGCTTCGCCTGGTCCGGCTTCGGCCTCAGCTTCTGCTTCGCCTGGTCCGGCTTCGGCCTCAGCTTCGACCTGGTCCGCCTCGGTCCGGCTTCGGCCTGCTTCCTGCTTCGCCTCCGGGTCCGGCTTCGGCCTCTGCTGCTTCGCCTCCGCCTGGGCTGGCTTCGGCCTCGGCTTCTGCTTCGCCCTCGCCTGGTCCAGCTTCGGCCTCTGTTTTCTGTGTCGGCCTCGCCTGGTCCCGCGGCTGTGTTAGCCGCCGCCCAAGCCACGTTTTGCCCCTCGGAATCGCCGGCCGCTTTCCGGGCCGTCAGCTGGACTTCGTTGCCATCGGGGTCAGCCGCCTGAACTGATGAATTGTGACCTGCTGTGCTCTCAACGTCCGGGTCGGCCCCCTGAGCTCATGGATTTTGGACTGCTGGACCGTTGGCCTCCTGGTCGGCCAGCTGAACTTTTGAACTTTCTTTTGTTTTGCTGTCAACCTCCGGGGCGGCCACCTGAACTGCTTCGCCATTCGCTCCTGTTCTGCCGGGTTCATGGTCGCCCTCCTGAAGCTGGTTCTCGGTCTTTTGTGCCCTTGTTGTTTTTGGCCTGTGTGCTTCTGGTGCTTTGTTTTTGGTTTTGTGCTTGTGTATAAATACACAAACAATACACATATGATTTCAGTTGTGTAATTTAAGTGATCTAGGTAGATCTGTTTTGGAAGTTCAGTTAACTCTAGAAATGTGTTTTGGAGTTTGTACGTGTTTTTTGGAGTTTGTACGTGTTTTGTCTCTAGGGGCCACCGCATATATTTATATATAAACATATATAAATAAAACCACTTTTTTTTACATTAGTAATTCCTTTTGTGCATAATTTTATATTATTGTTAGTAATAAATTAATTAAAGCAACAAAACAACCTGAAGAGCCGGTTGGGAGCCGACTCTTTTTAGTGAGCCAAGCCGAAAGAGCCGGTTCTCTAAAAGGAGCCGGAAATCCCATCACTAGCAGGCAACAGCTTCTCTCCCCTCGCTCACAGGCGTAAGTGCTGTGCTGAGCTCGGATCATACCAAAATTAGGGGCGATTTACGACGGTGCGCTCTGTGCTTCGTGTGTTGTTTTTGTTTTATACAGCTGTCAGTCAGGCATCTAACTAACAAATTACACTCCAAAAGACCCCATGCTTATGAAAAAATGGCCCGGGCTTCAGCCCAGTAAGCCACCCCCCGCTCCGCTGATGGTTGACTCCAAATCTCCTCCCAAACACTGTCGATTTGAGAACGCAAGAGCGAGACCAAGACCACGTAAAAGTGGTCTTGAGTCTCGAGACCAAGACCGGTCTCAAGACATCCAACTCTATGTTCTGACAGGGGTTTCTGAAAAAATTTAAACGTACAGCTCTGCTATCACTTCCGACATAAATCAAGACAGGAAACTAAACAGCAGTGACATTTGTAAGGTTAGTGAAGTTGGGCTAGCTGGTATATAATGATGTGCTACGTGACACAGATATGTTAGCATAATATAAACACAGTGAAGCTGGAGGATGAGCGCTACCTTTTTTCCACTCAATAAAAGTTAACGCGAGGGTTCCCAGTGGTTAAGGACAAAGGCAGGATCCTGTAAATGGACCAAACTTAAGTCAGCAGAACAAATGAGATAATCCATCCACAATAGGAAGTTAGTCATTAATTTACTGCTGCATGGACTGGGCTGTAGTTCGTAAGGTTTTAAAAACTGAGATGGAAACTGGTTTTAAAAGGTGAAGCCAGCTAAATGAATATTTGTAATATAAACCAAAAGAGGCCGTCAGTGATCACTGCTTTTTTTAGGGGCCTGTTTAAATTTAAATAGAACAAGACACATAGCATTAAAACATGTTAAAAACATAACAGCCTTAATAAAAGCAGAGTAGTTTGGACCCGGAAGCAGTGATCATATGTCATCACTTAAAGGCTGGTTATAATGTGTATATAATTCAGGAATGATTGACAACTCCAAAAAAAACATTGAAAATTTAAAACAAAGCTTTACATAACATTTTGCAGTACAGACCGACCCCAGTCTGTGAGGGTGGGAAAACAAGTCTTCCACTCTAGCTCACTCAATACAGGAGTACCTCAGGGCTGTGTTTTAAGCCCTCTGCTGTACTTGCTGTACACGTATGACTGTGTAGCCACATCGGACACCACCTCCATTTGTCAAGTTTGCTGACGACACTGTTGTTGTGGGCCTGATCTCCAACAACATCGAGACAGAATACCTGGAGGAGATTAGGAACCTGGAGACCTGGTGCCAGGAGAATAACCTCCTCCTAAACGTGAGCAAGACTAAGGAGCTGATCGTGGACTGCACTACAAACCAGGCAAGGAATTACAAGCCCCTCATCATCAGTGGCACGCCAGTGGAGAGAGTGGACAGTTTCCGATACCTGAGTGTCCACATCACTCAGGACCTGTCATGGTCCTCTCACATCAACACCCTGGTTAAGAAAGCCTGCCAGCATCTCTTCTTCCTCAGAAGACTCAGAGACTTCCATCTGCCACTGAGAGTGCTCAAGAACTTTTACTCCTGCACCATCGAGAGCTGCAAATAGTGGTGCGCTCAGCCGAATGTATCATTCAATCAGAGCTTCCTGACCTGCTGTCCATCTACACCAAAGCCAGGAAGATTACGATGGACCTCTCCCATCCCAACAATGGACTCTTCTCACTGTTGAGGTCTGGGAAGCACTTCCACTCTCTTAAGGCCAAAACAGAGAGAATGAGGAGGAGCTTCTTCCCCCAGGCTATTCGGGTCCTGAACCAGGTGTAGGACTGGACTCCCTCACACACATCACATCACTATAGGACTGGACTCTCACACACATCACCACACGCACTCTGGTTTTTCTTCTTGCACACTTCCTATAATTTATAATTTCTTTTGTCTAATAATCTCTTACGTAAAGTGTTATTTGCACATTTTTACTGTAAATTTCTAAGTTAAAGCTGTAAATTTTGTAGCAACCCGTAAATTTGTATATCTTACTGTAAACCTACTGTCATTTAATGGTCGGCACTGCACAGCTATAAGCCTTTCACCTCATGTCATACTGTGTATGGTTGTGTGTGTGACAAATAAAATTTGAATTTGAATACTTGCCATACCTTTCACTGTCCTAATGGTTGGTTTGCTTTTACCAGAATAAATTGTAATCTGATAGTTAAGTACTTCAATTACAATTCTTCATTCCATTTTTAGTAGTGACTCAAACTAAATTCTGTTTTAATGCAAATTTTGGTGAACACTAACTGGCACTTGAAAAAAACGGAAACTGTAACATCACATATGTAGGGGGATGAGTCAATGAATATAATATATGAAAACCAAAGAAATGGAATTTGCCATTAGTCTTTAGTATGTATGACAATGTTCGCACAAAGTTAAGGTCTAAGGTTGGACCACATGCACTTTGACAGCATTTATCTTTAATATATCCCTGTGCTGTTGTCAAGATGTCATGTTAGGAATTCGGTGTAGAGGAAACCCTAAGATCACGTGGTTTATACTTCAACAGGAGAGCAATGTTATTTAAAAGCAATTGCCAAATGAGTTCATGTTGTGTGTCTGAGAGTGGCCTGCTGCTGTATTGTGCTGCACTAAGCTGTACTGCTGGTCTGGTCCTTTTCTTAAGAGCCATTGAAGATGAAGCCAGCTGAATGCTAGAGTATATTGGCAAGTGTTAGAAGAACTCCACTAATGAGAGTGCAGATCAAATACTTTCCAACCACTAACCACAGTGCAAGTTGAGTTTAGCAAGTGATACAACAGAGCATCATCTTTCATCTCTATAGTGATGACCTGCAGTACTGGAAATAACCATGAAAACAATATATGACCTTCCCTACACTACTTGTTTGTTCCACCATATGCTTTTGACACAATAGTACCCCAAAGGGATTCTGCTAATGTATAAGATTTGTTCAAAAATAAAACTAGAAAAAGAACCAAACAAAACCAGAACCTGGTGAGCCACAATTCCGAGGGGTAATGGGTCGAATATTTTACCAATTTGGATT